ATGAGCAGATTCCCCGCAAGTCTGCCTTAACTCTTTAGCATCATTCGCGGTAGTTTGCTGCGTTGCTTTTAGCTTGCTGTAGCCTTCGTGCAGCTTGCCCAGCTTGCCTTAGTGTCTGTTGCGGCTTGCTTCAGCGTTTGTTGTGGCTTTTAGAGCGCGTGGTGCCCATCGTCGAAATCGACGGGGGAACTGTCGGTTTAAGGTCATTGCATAGAGACAGGCACAGCGAAGACACAAGACCTTGCGGCAATCCGCATTGATAAAGGAATCATTGTGGCAGTCGGCCATAGACGCGACGCCTCAGGCTAGGCTCCGAACGAGAGACCCTATGTGAACAGATGTTCCGGATACTTTTAACCAATGAACGTGCGGCATGACCGTCCAATATATTGGCGGACTTTTTAATGTCTTTACTTGTCCAGAAGATGTTCCAAAAACTGGAAGAGAACACATCCAAGGGTTTTTGTAAGTTATTTCGTATGTAAATAGTAGGTGTCCGCGGCGCCAAGCGCTGCAGACTATACTAAACTAACTCCAGGACGGTAAGTTGGGCCACAGGTAATTTGAAGCAGACGACCTCCTAACCACCATTTCCTTTATCTAAAAAATTAAAAAACAATCTAAAATAATATAATAATGAATACAATACGTAAAAACGTTGAAACGCCTGCTAGTCTGTTGGTCGTTCTTCCTGCATTTTTATTGGCTACACGTTTATCCGCCAAATGTTTCAAATATTCACTCACGCTCCACCAAACACATCTTACCATATAAACACAGAAAAAGTGTAGTTACTGACTGGGTCTTAGTCGGCAAGCCTGAAATCTAGGCATGGTTTAGACTGCAGTTTGCATCAGATGACAATGAGGAGGGATACTTGAACACCGGACAAAGCCCTTTTCTAGTCTTGACCGTTTATTGAGTTCAGTCATCGAACTAAAAGGAGAGGAATGTGGCAAGTAGGTCGTCATAAATATGAAATACTGGGTATTCTTGAAGTCGGCAAGATTCACTTTGCCAGTACAAGTGAACATGCGTGTCCCAGGAAGCAATTTAGAAGAAGAAAAAGAAGCATAAGAAGACTCAATCGTTGGGACAATACGTTTATCTGCTTGAAGTTTCGACATCCGTCGCGGATTCATCATCAAAGACATGAGTAAGAAACAGTAGCAGAAACGGGTAATGCATGCCCCAATTTTATAAACAAGTGCAACGATTTGCCCAATCCATATTCAATGCTGAGACTCAATTTGGGGTCGTCACTTAAGGAACGGGCAGGCCACCGCCTCATCTTACGTCAACACCGGAGAGCCAGATGGCCGAGCAATCATCATGCCCGAGTCCACCGCCCGTGATGAAAGTTCAGCAGGTCAGAGCCCGCGTGCCGTCCAACA